ATACGTGTGCTCTGGATGTGCTTCTCTCCTTTTAATGAAGCATAAGTGCATCAGACAGAGGTCAGCCTGTGAGAAGACACAGTGTGAACAGCTCCCCTGAGCAGAACACCTTGCAACCACGTTTAAGACTGATGAAAAGCTGCGGCTTCTTCCACTGACTCACTGGAGAAGGGGGCTGGCCAACCAGCTCTTCTCACCGACTTTCCATATTGCTCCATTTTGGGGCTTTAGGTTTTATTTTGCTTTTTCAGCTGCTAAGTGGAGTTTTTAAGTCTTTGGGAGAATCTCATCTACCAGACAATGCTGCACGTTTGCTTAGCACCCATCACTGGTGCAACTATAACCAAAGTTTGCCTTGGTTTGACAGTTACTCGGAGGGGGGAGAGGGCCAGTCAATCCCTCTCTTTGGTCATCACAGCAAGAAAGATCCAGATTTTTTGCCAAAACCACACTGTAAGAAGGGGAAGGGGAGATGGGCTGGGAGTTAAGGGTGGCTGCAGCCTTTCCGTTTGCACAACCTGCCTGCGTAGCCATGGTCCAGCTCACTGCTCTGCACAGCCTGGCATAAAACGGTTGCACAAATGACTGCATTTTTACCTCATTCTCAATTCCAGGGCTTTAAACCTATGCTAATTCTGCTTTGTCCACTTCCCCACCCTTAATGCCTTGCAGACAGACAACGCGATGAACCCGAGTTGGCAAATCCCGCAGAAATTATCAGCCTGTCCCTTAACAAAGGAGTGTTAGGGTTTCAAGCTTTCTTTTCAAAGGAATGCAAGCGCTTTGCACATTCGCCTGAGCATCAAAGAGCCTGTGAGCAACTCTCAGGCAAACAAAGCAAAAAGGTATAATGTGCCATTAGGAGAAAGAACTACAAATCCTGTCCCCAGCTCTGCCCATCAGCTGAGCTGCACAGTACACACTCTGCAGCCTCAAAAGCTGATCTTTCTTTGGATTCATCTTCCAGCCAAGTCTTCTTGCTGCAGGACACCTTGTGCTTTTCAGTGGGAACAGCAGCACAGCACAAACGCTTTGCAACTGGCACACATCTCACTTGGGGTTCTTGTTTGTAGTTCAAGACTAATTGTTTGTTACAGGTTTCTCTTGCCCTGCAAGTGCAAACAGATGTGTTACCATGGGCCCACCTGGTGGCTGGGCAGGCAGGATTTGTACAGGAGAAAAGAAAACCAGCAAGAAGAAAAGTTAGCCCTACAACCAACTCCTCCATTCGCAAAAGCCACTGCCAGAGAAGTAAGATGTCCAAGTGCCTCTGCCTTGGCAGCTCATCTTCAAGTGCTGCAACCCCTGCAGTTGTCGGTGGGGTTGCAGATGGCATCTTTTAAGCTATCCGTATGCAAAACTTATACTTAGGAGACTGTTTTTGCCCTGATGCCGAACGCTAGACTCGAGCTAAGGTCCTGTTTCTAGGCTGAAAAGAGCAAGACTGCATGCAGCAAGCTATCCTCAGTGACCTTGACCTAGGGAAGGTCTCTAGCATGCAAACTGTTCCCCTGTCTGAGCCCCATGGGAGCAAAGCTGTCAGTGTCCATCAGTGTCAAGGCATCTGCAAACAAAGCCTGAGAGACTGGGTTTGCCATTTCTCATGTCTTGGGACTCGCAACTTCTATTACACCCAGAAATGGGTGGGTGGGATCTTGGTTTAACATCTGTTCAAGAGCAGCACTTCCAAGAGGGCCCCCAGTCTCACCAGATACCAGAAAACACCCCTGGGCTGTTGAAGGGCTTCCGCCTCCAGCCTGCCTGCTCAGAGCTGCGCCAGTCCGTCCTCCCGAGATGCCGATGCTGCTCTGCTGCCGCGGTGACCGCAGTTCCAGAGCACGCTACTGGAAGCAGGAGAGACTACTTCAAAAATAAGAATTTGCTTCAATTTGCCTCCAGGATACAAGTCCCAGTGATGAAAAAAGCAGTTTGGCACCAGAAACTGGGAATTGTCCGAGAGGCACCAAACCTGACAGCCTGCAGAGATCCCGTCCAGCAGCCCATGGACCGTGCCTACAGGCGCTGGATGCAGCAGAGCACTGGCCGTGGCGGACAGCAGAGTGACTGAGAGGTTTTTGTGTTATGATGATCTCTAATTGCATTTGGGGTGAGACAGTAAGTGCGAACGTTTAAGGGCCCGCGGCCTTCATAGCCAGAAGGATTCAGCAACATAACAAGTAGTGTAATGCACTGTAGGTATTAAAAAGACATTCGTGCTACTAGAGGAAACCATTCCAAATAAAATGGGAAGATATTCTTTGCACTCAATCAGGAGCACTTACATTCAGAAGGATATTTGAGCCCATGCACTTCTCTAAGCTTCCTTCAAACCCCAGTTTGACAAAACTGATGATCTTTGTTCCCCTGAAAAATCATACACCTTGGTTTGTCCTTGGCCTTGTGAAGGTTATTTTCAGTGTGTGTTCTGAGAAACTTTTTTTTACAAAAAAGTTTAGGTACAAGGGTTCTCAATGGCAGCTGGCAGACCCTGGCAAGCTGGCTGGTGGCTCACAGACATCTGTGCTGTCACCGCTTGCTTGCTTTTCCATATGAGCAACTGCTGAGGCTCCCATGAGGATATTAATTAATCGCAAATGGGCTACTCTAGAACAAGGTTGAGAACCCCTGGTTTATGAAATTCATAGAGGAGCTAATTCATACAGGGAATTCAGAAAAGAAGTTATGCTGTAAAAAAAAAAAAAAATCCAATAAACATAATTACAGACATTTTCTGCCATGAAGCATTTCTCATAGTTTTAAATCAAACTAGCTAACAGGTTAAACTCAAAACTGGGAGTGGAGACAGAAGAGTAACTTTTGTTTTTTGGAAAAAAAAATGTACAGGAAATAGTCAAAAATAAAATAAGAAAAAACATCCTTAAAGTCTCCCTTCCTGATTTCTAAAGATACTGGTGTTCATAAAACACAGCTGCCCTGATCACGTGCACCGTGTGTCAAGAAGGCTGCAGACAAATGCCCTCAAGGTGTACAGTTATTCAAAGGAGCAAAGTCCAGTGCAGAACTGGTCTGTTCAATGTAGTCTGATTATCCATGGCAAGATGGCCCAGGGGACAAGAGGAAAGGTGGGGTGGAGGAGAAACAAAAGAAACTTCAAGTCACTTTAGATCTCAGCTGCCTGAAGACTTTAGAACATCAGCCTCCCATTGGTCTGCCCACTTGAAAACATTAGAAAGTCTGTCAAGTCCACACACTATCTATGGAAAGGAGCACGTTCCTGGCAGAGGGCTGTCTCTCTCACGTGCTCAGCTTTCCTTTCAAACTTTATTTTATATATATTTATATTTTTATATATATATAAAAAAGCACTTGGTTTCCAGGGGCATTCATAATGAGGTCCACAGTGTTTAGAACTTAAAATTCTTTTTCTTTGTTTGGAACAGTGTTTTAAAGTTTTGTTTTAATTAAAAGACAGTCTTAAAGCATGTTGGATTTCAAAAACATGAGTTTGTTCATGTCTTCTGGACTGAGTAGCCGTCTCCTTTTGATTAAGAGAGCCTGCTCACACATATTTACACATTCGCTTCTGGCACCAACAGCAGGCACTGCTAAGAGCCAAAAGGCTAGCTTGGCTAGTTTTGTATGCTTTTGGGTAACACACGACCAGTACTGAAACAGGTCAGGGGTGGCCTGGAAGAGAGGTTCTTGCAAATAATCATAGACTTCATTTTTCCCGAACCAATCTTCTTCCTGAGCTGCTGTGGCTTCCCCTGCTGCCCGAGGCTTCTTGGTTGAAGGTTCAAATTCTGTTTCTTCTGCCCAGGACTCTTTCACCTCATTGATCAACTCACAGACCTTGCCAATGATCTCTTCATGCTGGTATGGCGGGACGGGCCGCAGCTTCTGCTGAGGATCTAAGATCATGGCTACCTTGTGTGCCGAATGAACTTTGAAGTTCTCCTTCAGCGCCTCCAAGAAGAGGTGGCAGAGTTTGCTGACTACGCCAGCGTCGTTAGCTTTGGAAGTGAACAGTTTCTCCAGTTTGACGTAGGTGGGCAGTACCAGCTGCAAGGTGGGTCGGCTCTCATTGCTCAACTCAATCACCGCCTGTTTCACTGGAGCCAAAATGGCTGCCAGGTTGCTGAGCAGGTGTTTGTTCAGGTTTTGGATGAGGTTCATCTTCTTGGCCCTGCTGTAGAACTCACAGATCTGCTCGTAGCGCTCGTGGACGAGCAGGAGGGAATCGGTGACCGAGTTCCAGCATGGTGGGGGAGAGGTCTCTTCCAGGGAGCCAAATGTCTCCTTCGAGAGGCCCGTGGATCCTGCCAGATCTTCACAGACATTCAGGAGCTCGATCACTTCGTGCATATTGCGAGCCTGTAGTGTTCGCTTGTTCAGCACACTCTGCACTACTGAGTTCAAGGCACAGGCTGAACAACGCAAGCACATGCCTGCCTTGGAGAACGCAGAGGAATTGACTTTGCAGTCTGTGACGTACACCGTCCTGATCTCCGACATCACAAACTCCGAGAGCACGTTCTGTACCCAGTGGTGGATAAAATCACCATTATCTCTAATGTCTACGCCCTTAATTCCCAGGACGTAACTCTTGATGTGGTTGCCTTCCACCTGATAAGCTGTCAGGATGTAGCAAGAATCGGGGCCGATGCTCTGCGAGTGGCAAGTGACACCAATGCCAAGGCATGCATTGCTGCCCAGGGCGCAGGTGACTTTCACCTTCACTTGGTTGTACATCCGAGGCAAATGCTTCAGAGCCAGTGTGTTGAAATTGCCAAGGATTTCGGTGACAGAGAAGGCACCATAGCGAGCTCCACTATCCACCAGGGTCTGTGCTAGCTTGATGAATTCCTTCCCGCTCACCACGCTCAGAGCCCCAAGGTCAGTGCACATCACCCTCAGGAGCCTCTCGGCAATGTTCTGCCGCTCCTTCTCTGGGATCGCGCTGTTCCCTACCGAACCGCTCGCGGATGCTGCAGTGAAATAGAAGGAAGGAGAGAAAGCACCAGATGAGAATGGCTCCTCTGCAACGGGCGAGGGGAGGAAGTCACATAACAATTCCAAGAGAGGCCCAAAGAGGTGGAAGATGCCCAGATGATGGCAGAGACATCTCCAACCCTGGATTTCTTCCCCCAAGGGTTTCTGGACAGAGGAACCTCCAGGGACAGACCTTGCTCTTGCTTAGAGCAGCAAGGAGCTCATCTGCATGCCTTCCCTGGCGTGGCGACTGAGACAGAGCGCATGCTACCTGCTCACAATCCAGCACCTTAACCAGCGGCATCTCTGTGGTGTTCACTGAGGAACTCCCTAGGTAAGTTATAACCATGTGTGCTGTTTGCTATCCATATCTATGGGCTGGTGGTCAAAGCTTAGCCCAGCTGGAAAGCTGGACATCTTCCCATTTTTGTGATTTAAGCCTTTTCTTTGAGAGTTATTTTACAAGGAGTTGCTTTCTCCACCAGCTCAAACAATGCTGAAGCCCAAGTTTCCACTTCTTCCTCTGGACTCCAGTAACCCCACACTTCTTGTGGCTGATTTTGGGCAATGTGAATGCCATTTTTGGCCGTACCAGAACACAAAAGCACCATGTTTTTGTACCATCCTTCCCCCAGGCTGCTCAGCTCAAGTCCTTTGGAACCACTTTCCCACCACTTTACCTTCTCCTGTGGTGAAGCACAAGCTCACAGGATGAGTTGGGGATAAAGCTAGACACTGGCTGTGGGCCAGCACAGGGAATGGCGACTGGATTAATTTTTTAACCCCAGGCCAGGAAGTCTGATCTTGGATCAGAAGTTAACTTTTTCCAGGAGTTCCCAAATGCATCTTCCTTTCCTATTGCCTCCCCAGGGTTCCCAGTACTTTTTGCGTATGAGCGCTCCTGTAATGGGAGTGGGTGCTGTGCTCTGCAGGACAGTACATGAATTATGGATGAAATCAAGTGCAGTTAGGCGAGGGGCCTGTGCAATGCCCATCACTGCTTCACCCTCTCTGACAGCCACTTGTTCGAAGTGGACAGGTAAGCCTGGGATGGAAGAGCAAAGGCTGCTACGTACTGTTGTTGGCGTTATTTCTTTGGAGCTGTGGTTTCCACTTTTCTTCAACAACAGCTAAAGGTGATCTGGGCTGGCTAGAGGCAATATTGTTCTCGTTGTCAGCTGTGGGGCGAGAGACAGGGATGTGTTAGAAGCACAAGGTAATAATGCTTAAAGCACAAAGAAGGGGAAACAGCATCCATCTGCTTAGCAGTTACTTATGGTTCCCTTAACTAAGGTGACACCAATCTGCTCCGTTCTTTGTCGCTTTTAAGCAGGTTTCAGTGAGATGGCACAGTACCGTCAGAAACCCCAAAAATTGTCTTTGGACTTGCAACCCATCATCTCCCAAAATGTGGCTGAAATTACAGTGGCTTTTTCTGTGCATAAGTGACACTGATGCCATCAGCACACCTTGAGAAATTTCTCCAAATCAACTGAAGCTGCACACCAGGAGGACAAGTTCCTTACGAGCCTGACTCGTGCAATTTGCTGGCTTTCAAAATGAAAGCAGTTGTAATAAACATTTATCCTTCTTTTGTCTTACTACCTCTTTCTGCACCGCAGGTGGCTTCCCTTTCCTTTACTGTTAAGCACGTTGTTTTTCAAGCTATGCTCAACTCCTCTGTATCTAAGGATCTTATTACAACTTTCAGAAATGGTTTCCTCTCCCTGTAGAGAGAGGGCTAATATTCCCTCCAGCTGCTCCCTGCTGCCTCAGACTGGAAACAAAAGAAAAAAAATCCAAGTTTCTGGAGTGTGACCAAAGAGTGTTCCTCCCTATGGCTGCAAAGATACCAATTGCCCTAGGGGTCTTTGCAGTCATGCTTCCATTTCTCTGTATGTAACTGGGCTAAACACTTTGGCTGCCAACCTGATGGGATCTTTCATGGAAATGCAGCCAAGATCAGTAAATTCTGTATCATTTCCATGTCCTTTCCCCTCCTGTGCCCCAAGAACTTGTCCCCACCCTCTAGAGGAAATTTTCTAGTTCTTAGTATGCTTCACTACGAGACTGTCCTCTGAAATAAGCTGTGAAGCAACAATAAAGTGCACAATGAAGAGAGGTGAAAGAGGAAGGTGAAGGATGGAGAGACTCATGACCAGGCTGAACAGAAGGACGGATCTGAAAGACAAAACAGGTCCTTTACTCATCACAGCTGGACTCATCTCACCCAATTCTGGACATCTCTGTTACACATGCCTCTCTTCAAGGTGGCCCCTTGGGACTCCTTTTACACTCAGTGGTGCAAAACAGTGTGATTCATGCACCCAGACAGAACTAGATGCCTCTTGTATTAGAAGATCAATGCTCTGAACTTACCTGGAGTCAATGACTTCTTCTCCACTGATTATAAAGGGAGACCAAGCTGACCAGCTCAGGTGGCAGTATCTATAGCCAAGGCACACCAGCATGCAGTGAAAGGAATCCTGCCCCGGTATTCCAGGCAGCAGAACACGCACTAGAGGAATGCTTTATCAAGGCACATGCAGGCACTTTGCTCTGCAGCCCAGGTTGAGCAGTGGCCTGCCCATCAGAACAAACAGGAGAGGGCAAAGTTGCTCCCCTTCATGTGCGACAGTGGCCTGTGAGAGAAGGGAGAGCAACAAGGACCTAGAGACAAGCAATGATGTGATGCAACTCCAGTGCCCTTTTCCTTAGGAGCAAGTCCTCTCGAATTTGAGCAGCTCTGCATGTTAACTGCTGAGGCATTCACAAACCTTGCTGAAGAACAGCCACAGACTGCACTGTTGTTATTAGCTCTGGGCACTGCACTGGCCACAGACAGGATCAATAGCTAAGGGCAATTCAGGATAGACAGAACCAGGGTAGACTCTGGGACTGCCTCGAGGACTGTATGTGCCCAGGGAATTCACTGGTCGTAGCTGGTACCTGGGGAGCTCTGCCACACTCAGGGCTGCAGCCAGAGGTTGGTCTTTGCGGGTGTGGAAGAGATCTGAGGAGCAGGAGGTGCTCCAGTGGATGCCGGTGACGAGGTATGACACATCGCTTTTCCCCCTGCCTTTGCCTAGACCAGTTGCTCTCAAGCTAATGCCAACCACTGTCCTCAACTCCAAACAGCTGTGGGTAGGCAAAGGAAAATGCTGGATGTTGCCTACTAACTTTGCTCATGGCTCAGGCCTTCCTTGTCTTGGTGGGGAGCAGGACAAACCCTCTGTATTTCATCCCCCTAACTCTTTATCTAGTTCATAATAATAAGGGATTTATTATGTACAAATATCCACTAGCATTCAATATGGCAATAATAAGATTTGTGCATTTCAGCCTCACCTTCCTTATCAGGCAGTCTGTGAACTACACAGATCATAGTTCTTTAATTTCTTTTCATGCCTCCAATCCTTTAATCCAGGTTCAGCCTAGTCGTCCTTTTATTTTTTTAGCTCTAGATTGTAGGAAGGGCATTATATGGTAGCACTCGACCTGAACAAAGTACTCTAAAGAGAGTCAAAGCTGTATATTGTACAGTGTAATTACAGAACAAATTCCTTTGCCTGGTGTTCTGCTGTTCTATTTCTGCCTTTCAGCCTCCAATTTACATTCTAATTGCTTCTTCTCATTGTGTAGCTGCTTTATGGAGCTATAATTTCTCCTTATTACCTTCTAGCCTCCAGGCTCAGTCCTCTGAATGACTCAAGAGCCAGTATGTCCCTGTTTTTGCTCCTCGACGCCAGCAGCACGTTCCCTGTCTTCAGTCACTTGCAAGAGGGGCTCAGAGGATCCATCACATTCAGTTGGAAGAGATTATCCCTTTGCATCAGACGCGGTAAGCCAAACTGGACTCCTGAACACATTATCTGAGGGAGTATTTGACCCATATGGGCTTCTTGTATCTCTGCATCCCCATACGAAACATTCCTTGAGCCAGGCATATGGACTAGTATAAACGGCTACTATGCCAGTGTCCCCAGTATGTGAATCCTGTGCTACCAGTTCTGCTGACTAATGCAAGGTCTCTGCACCCCCAGACTTCAGAGATGTTGTGCCAATGCTGTTTCTTGGATATGGAAATCCCCAAGCTCTGACAGGCTAAAGGGCAACAAACGGCGACCAGAGTAACTGCAAGTGCTGTGTAAGCTCCACTGTTGCTCTGCTTAAGTACAATATCCAGTGTCGACACTCACCGAAGCCCCCTGTAGCTTTCACACCTCTTCATTTTGTTTTGCCCTCATCCCACAGTAGCAAATACCACGCCACTCGCCCCCAGCTGCATGGAGCTGGAGGAAAGGCTGCTGTTCCCTCCAGAGGAAGGGGCAGGAGCACAGGACTGGCAAGCACCACGCAGAGAGATGCCACAGGGGCTGCTTTCACGGGGGGCAGCCTCGGTGGCGCCAGGAGAAAGCACTTAAAGACGACATGGACAAGCTTGCTGGCACTGCACCTGCGAGACTTTTGGGGGGAAGCAGCCAAGCTGAAGACAGTGACTTACAAACAGAGCAGGGAGAGATGAGAAAATACAGAGTTTAACAAGCCTAATCCTGAGCTGGAGAGTGGGGATCTCTGCTGACATTACAGGAGTCAGATCACCAATACCTGCTCCCTCCAGCCCTGTTCTGTGTCCAAAGTAACCCAGGTGAGCAAGCCCAGAGGCCGCAGGTCATTGGTAAAGAAGAGAAAAGGAATCACAGAATCATTTGGCTGGAAAAACCCTTTAAGATCATCAAGCCCAACTGTTACCCTAACCCTGCCATCCCACCACTAAACCCTGGCCCTAAGCACCTCGTCTGCCCAGCTTTTAAATACCCCCAGGATGGGGACTCGACCCCTTCCCTGGGCAACCCCTTGCAGTGCTTGACAAACCTTTCAGGGAAGGAATTTTTCCCAATGTCCAACCTAACCCTGCCCTGGCACAACTTGAGGCCGTTTCCCCTCGTCCCATTACCCGTTCCCTGGGACCAGAGACCAACCCCCCCGCCCTGGCTCCCCCCTCCTGTCAGGCAGTTGTAGGGAGCCATAAGGGCTCCCCTCAGCCTCCTCTTCCCCAGGCTAAAGGAAGAAGCTGCAGCAGGATTAGCTTAAAATTTTCCACAGCTCACACCTTGCCAGTGAATTGCCATTCTCCCCTTCGACACCTCAGCCTTGGTCCCTCCTTTGCCACTCCTCTACTCAGTGTCGCCAAGAGCTATAACTGAAAATGCTGCGTTTCAGTACCAGAGACCAGAATATGGAACAGGGTGGTCAGGACGCAACTTGGAGGCGAGCAGAAACTGCCATGGACAAACAGCAAGAACAGACCCCAATGGCACAGAGCGATGGCAGCTACTACCCTGAGCAGAACTTTGCCGCTCCTCAGTGTAACAGCAAGTCCAATTACTCCTCATTAACCAGGTTATGCTCTAACAGAAAATAACGTCCACAAAACTCGTACGATCTTATAACAAATCACCCTAGATGTCTATTCATAACATTACGAAGATGATAAATAAAGTAGCTGCTGAACAACACTCAAAGCCTGCACTAAGATTTGCCAACAAGAACTGAACTGGAACTGAGGACCCACATGGATGAAGAAGTCAAAGGAGACTCAATAAAATTAAAATTAAAACTAAAACACAGAACAAGGTAAGAACTTTGATTAGAATTACTCTTACAGAATGGAAAATATGCTTTTCCTCAAGCCACTTGTCCTTCCGTGCCACTCTACTCAGGGATGACCTGTAAAGTGAGGGCAAATGCAAGCACTGAATGTGAATCTCAACAGAGCCGTGGTCTGTCGGAGAACACAGGTCTGTCAAAGGCAAATTTAATTTGTGAACCTGTGTTAACTCACTTGAATTTTCACTCAAGAGGAAAAAAAAAAAGAAAAGATTTCTGCCAATACAAAAAAAGTTTGATTTCTACATATTTGAATATTCTGAATGCTGTCTTTGAAACAGCTTTGGCTTTGAAATTTTAAAATAATCTCTTATGTATTGAGATAGATAACAAAAAAGGTGGCTTAGAAACAAAGTAGTGGAACCACTCCTCAGAATTTTCTTTGTAGGTAGATGAGACAGAAATGAACACAACTGATGAAATGGCAAATTCTTCTTCTGAGAACACATTTCAGTCCTTTGCAGAACTCCAGGAGACACAAGCACGGGAAAGGACTTGTGTAGGCAAAGGCTCTGCTGCCCTGCAAGCATCTGTGCTTTGTTTGCTTCAAGGAGAACTACCCTTTCTGCAGGAGGAGGGATTCAATCTGCTGTGGGAGTGACTCATTAATGCTTACGCAATAAGCATTCCCTGGATACCTCTGGATAAAGGGAATGAGTAGTTTGCTGTGCTCCATGCTAGTGTGGCACGTTTCTCTCTTCCCGTGGAAGGGAGGAATATTTATGATACACCCTGAGCCTTGCATTGCTGCAGCCACTGCTATGTGCTTCAGCCTTTGAGCATCTTTTTCGCTGCAGGTGAAATTACTGGGGCTTTGGAAACTGTGAGCACAGAAAGCTCTATTGACACACAACGGGGTCAACATCAGGCATCAGCGCAGAATTTAATTCTCCGCTTCAAGCGAGTCGAAGTGCCCAGCTTACCTGCATGGGACTGCATGTGCTCCAGGAGATTGTTATAAAACTGGAACTGGATTCCACAAGCTCCACAGGTGTAAGGCTCTGTTTGGGAGAAATCAGTTCAGAAGAATTATACAGAGTATGCAGGGAAGCAGCATATGTGCATACTTCAGTTTGTACAGCAGTGGGGCAGTGCCTTAGGGCCGGGTCCTTGTCACCTCAGCCCACGGGTGCGCATCACAGCAGCTCCTTAGAACTGAACCCGCAGGGCTCAGGCTGTGATTCGGGAAAGCGCTAGGGCATGTCACTGCTTCCTGGGCTGGAGTCAGGCATTTATCCACGTGCTTCACTTTACTGCCAGGAGAAGGCCTGGGGTGGCAGAGGGGCAGCTCGTTGCACTAAAGCGAAGCACCCGCCCGTGTGTGTACGGGGGATCTTGGTGAATCTGCACAAAGACTGGAGAGGCTACACACTGGCCAGGGTTTACTAGCTCATGCCTGCTGCAGGCTGCTTTAAGCATATCCTTGTTCTTTTTAAGCCTGAAAGCAAAGCATGGTGAATTAATTTTACATCCAGTTCTGTCAAATTCCAGTCTCTGCTGCCTTTCCTGAGTAAGACAAGGAGCATCAGGTTGTGAAAAACACTGTTGCTTACAAGCTGGGGCATGGAGAAGTGCCATGGGGGAACCCAGCTTGGGCTTCTTGTGCAGCGAGACTAGGGAATGGTGAGTGCCACTGGGCTCGGCGGCAGCAAGTCGCCGGGGTTAAGCAGAGGCGGAGGGGAAGAAGCACAGAAATCAGAGCTGTGCCGGAAGGCTGAGAGCAGAGCAGGAGAGCCATGTTGCCAGAGTAATATGGATGAGCTGGAGTCAGGAAAGAGCTGGGTGCAGATCCCACATGAGCTGAAAGATACGCTTAGTTCTGTTCTAACAAGTATGTTGAAAGTGCATTTTTCCACTGAATTAACCTAGCAGCAAATGTTTGCCATTGCTCGTTTACGCAGTATCAGCTGCGTACATTAGTTGACAGATGTAGGATCAAACTACAGTAGCTGAAATTGTTAACATTGCAGTTTGCTTCTATACCCCCAGATACACCAGCGCACTGCCACCATTTATGCTGTGGCATTTTGTTTTGTAACAGCAGAATGGACAAATGCAAGCATTTGGTATATAAACAACTTTGCATATAAATGCCTGGCAGACACAGAGTGCAAGGTCTATTGCTACAACACACCAGAAATCTGCATCTACATTCAAAGGGAAAACCATATTCTGCATCAGTGAAACTTAAGAAATCTACTGCACATAAGCAAAAGCACTGGCATCCAGGGTAGAAGAACCAAAATACAGGAAAGCACAAGCCTGACTTGTCTATAATCTGGAAGATGTCTGTATCTCAGGTAGCAAACCCCAGAATTCATCAGATGGCTACAGGAAGCTGCAAGGAAGAACATAAAAGAGACCAAAAGCGGTTCATATAATCTGTGCTGTAAGGTTAAACACCCTGCTGTGCCTTTCCCACAGAACCTCAGCCCTCTGAAAAGATAAACCCTGATCCATCTGGAGGGCTGGGCTCAATACTTTATTTAACTTACTCTGTTTTCTTGTGATGCTACTCCTGTGTTTTGCTGCAGCGAGGAAGTTTGGAAACACTGTACTGAGTAACTGTGCTTGTGAAAAAAAGCAGAGTTGACTTTGGCAGCTGAGTGGTGCAGCTAGAAATTTCAGGACTGGGAGAAGTAACGTGGACTGTCCGGTTCTGTTGAAATCATCACTAGTGAAATAGCCAGCTGTGGTAAAATGCCCCACCAGGTACAATGCAATCTCATTGTTCAGACCCCTTTTGTAATTACCAGAGAGGAGAAGACCCCGCATGGGTGCACACCATCCCTCTTGGATATGTATTCCACTGTCAGATGACTTGTGTTACAGATGCACCTATTTGCCTCTGCTGCTAATGGAGCCCAGACTGCTCAGACGGAAATGTCTCAAACTAAGTGGGTTGACTCCCCCGTTTTGAGTGTCGAAATTAACATTTGATTAATCTAATGAAAGAAGTCACACTGCAAAGAGCCTGCTGAATGCTGCTGGCAGATTCCTGGCAGGATGAGAAGAGCTCCGGTGCTGTAGCAGGACAGCTTACAAGCTACCACCCCTGTTCTTTGCCCTACTGCTTTGCTGGAGCCCCTTCCCCTACAACAACGTTGGGAGAACAGAACACGCTGCACATTCCGGGTGCTTCGGAGTCTGAAATTTAGATACGTCACACCGCGGTTCCCTGGGACACGTTCAAGTCTCCGTGTGCCATATAAACGTAAGCAGGCACATGCGTTCCCTTCTGCCATCTCTGCCTGTAGTAACCTTGGACAGAGAAAGTGGTGGCAGAGCAATCCACTCCTCACTGCTGCAGTCCAAGGACTCTTCTCTGCACCCGGACAAGTACACAAACCCCACGACTCCCCTAGAAGCAGGTTTCCACACAGCCACCAGAACACCTCTTCCCCTCCGCTCAGTTACAGGGCTCCTCACTGGGAAGCAAATCACTCACATACATCCAGCACTCTCTGAGCAGCATGTTTCTCACATTCATTCTTCTCTCCTGTTTCACTACACTCTCACATTCCCTCTTCAGCTTATGTTGTCTCACTGAGCTGCTTTACCTTCCTCCTGTTATATTCTCAGCTATTCTATCACCATAAAGCTGTGCTGTCTTTCCCCTAGCTCTCCCCTTGCCTGACTCCCCTCCACCCCTGACCAGTCTTTTCTGGGTTCTCTCCGTCTCTGTCCATCATGCAGTGACCATCAAGATTCTACAGTTCTTCATCGCAAGCTCCTTCCTCTGCCACTACAACATGCTGGGTACTCACACTCTGAAAGGTCTCTCATTTGGGATTCTTCTCAGAAAAATCCTGTTGATTTTCATCCCATTTCCAAAAGCTTCCCCTTCTGTTCTACTACAGAAATGTTCACCTCTGGAAACAAAACCACTGCCTACTTTCAAAAACTGATTTCGCATTCTGAAAACGCTAACATTTCCTAAATAGTTCTGAGACAAAGGTTCATAGAAGTCTCCAAGTTTGCCACAAACAAAAATGAGTTAAATTAAAACTAGGTGTAAAATTTAAATTCACCCAACAATTCAGAAGTCTTTTCCGGGGAGGAGGGAAGGCATGCTTGGGAGGATGTACAGAATCCCCATAGGAATGAATGAACTTGCTTTACTTCCCAGGGCTTTCTCAATCCTCATTCTCCCAAGATTTCAGCTTCTAAGCTCCTTATGCTCCACCACACAGAGAGCTGGGAACAGCCTGGAAGGAGGGTGGGATGCATCAGTGCTAGAACAGGGAGAGGGATCTGGACGGTGGAAAGAAAGGCAATCTGTATCTGAAACCAGGCAGAAGCCAGCCCTGGAAAAGAATTGCTCATCTGGACTGGTACGCACAGAGAGTAAATCCCCCTCCCTTTGATTTCTGCTTGCAACTTAAAGGTCGAGTTCACTGGAAAAGTTGTCAGAACTGCTCTGAACACCCCTGTGAGCCACACTTGTGCTCCTTTCTCCTTCCTGGGAGCACAACCCCTGCCACACCACTGCAGGACCTCTGCTTTTCCTTCCCCCAGGGGAATTTCAGCTCTTCTGGCTTAGACTGAGGTTTACAGCACCCAGAAGGGATCTGTTCTCCACCAGGTGGTCTGAACTCAGCAAGGGGCCCACAGGTCCTCCCATGGCTGCTCCAGTCAATGAGCCTCTCCCTTCCCTCTCGGCTTTGCTGCTGGCAGTACAAGGAGAGCTAGGACTCGTTTGTGTTGCCCACACCAACCCCCCCGAGAACACCTGTGCTCCCCAACAGCCCCAATTGTTTTGGGTGGCCAAGACAACACCTTATGTACAAGCAGAGCCGGAAGAGACGCCGCGCAGGAGATCCCAACAAGTGCGACGCA